GTGTAAATGCTATGGAGACACTAAACCAGAGAAGGGAGGCATGTACGTATCTGTGTGTGTGGAGTCGTGGAGGCAGTGAGGATGGGGAAGGGGGGGATTTTATACCAGGTGGTCAGGGGAAGCCTGACCTCTGAGTCAAGTTCTAAAGGAGGTATGGGAGTGAACTGGGTGGGTGTATATTCCAGCCAAAGGGGACAGTGAGGCCAGGAGGCAGTGGTGTGCCTGTTGTGTGTGGCAGCCGCAAGGCCAGCGTACCGGAGTGGGATGAGCGATGAGAGAGCAGTAAATGAGGTCGGGCAGTGAGGTGTTCTGATGTGAGGAGGCAGCTTGCATACTGACTCGTAGGCTGGTGTGAGGAGTTTGGCTTTTGCTGTGAATGAGATGAGAAACTTGGAGAGTGTGATCAGAGAAGTGACATGTGTCAGGCTCACTCTGGCTTCTGTGTTGAGAATAGGTTGAAAGGGAGCAAGGGCAATATTCTGTCAAGAGTTGATGGTGACTTAGACCAAGATGGTGGCAGTAGGAGGGGGGAGATGCTGTCAGCTCTGTTTTGAAGGTAGGGCAACAGGATTTACTAATATATCCTAATCTGTGGTATAAGAGAAAGAAGAATCAAGAATGACCGCAGTATTTTTGGTGTGCACGTCTGCTGGGAGTGGAGTTGTCATTAATTGAGATGGGGTGCACTGTGGAGGGGAGTGATCAGGAGCTCGGTTTTGGCACTGAGTTTGGGACTGCCTGCTAGTTCTCCAGGTAGAGATGTCAGGTAGGCATTTGACAGTGTGAATGTGGAGTTCAAGGTGAAGGCCTTGGCTAGGCGTGTGGGAGGTACGTGTGTCTCTGTTTGTATGGGAGAGGTCACCATATGGATGATCCTTATTACCATGAAAGGGATGAGGTCACCAAGGGCATAAATTGAAATGAAAAAGAGAAGTCTAGGACGGGAGAGAAAGAGAAGGTGAAAACCAGGGAAGGTGGAGCTCCAGGAGCTTAGTGAAAAAGCAGCTTTCGATCCCTGGAGGAATTTTTGGTTGTCAGAACTGATTGGGGCAGGGAAGGGGGCAGTACACTGGCGTCTGCTGAGTAGAGGTAAACATCGCTGCTAAACATGGTCCAAAGCACAGGACAGCCTTGTAAGGGCGAATCAACGTGCCCAGAATGTCAGTAGTGCCGAGTAAACGGACCGGGACATACAGGGTGTTGGCTGGGCGGCATTAAAGTCTCGCTTAAGATTAAGGATCATTCATTTAAAGTGAGACGAGTTAGCATGGTTTTATTTTTATTTTTATTTTTATTTTTTAATTTTAATTTTAATTTTAATTTTAATTTTAATTTTAATTTTTATTTATTTTTTTCTCCAGTGACTGTTCAGTGGCACGTGTGTAGCCTTGGAGCAGGGGGAGAATTGGATTTAACTGAGACTAGTTTTGCTGGAGGTGTAAGTGGAAGTGAGAGAGAGCCAGGGTGGTTGTGTGGTTAGAGTGGTTGACCGTGGACTTTTCAAAGTGAGTAGAAGAGGGCTGTGAGGACATCAGGAGATGAAGAACAGTAAAACAGGTGTTCTTTTCAAGTAAACGCCAGGGGGTTTCTGATCATCCGCCAAGTTTGAAAATGGAGCGAAAAGACACCTCCTTGGAAAAAAAAATTTATTCTGGCTCGCAGTGGCCTCTGCGTCAGGGCGGGGAGCTGCGCTCAGCACGCCGATGCGAGGGCTTGGGTGGATGTCTCCGAGATTCTCAGGGAAGCACGCGTTAACCTGTGTGTTCTTCTTTTCCTCGTTGCCGAAGATCGCCTTCCGGCTTCCCAGCCGGCCTCCCTCACCGGTCCTGTGCTGCTTCCCCGCAGGGCACCTTTCACAGCCAGCAGGCGTTGGAGTATGGCACCAAGCTCGTGGGCGGAACCACTCCGGGGAAGGGCGGCAAGACGCACCTGGGCCTGCCGGTCTTTAACACCGTGAAGGAGGTGAGTAACCGCGCCGAGTTTGGCAGGAAAGGACGAGCGGGGGAGGAGCTGGCGCACCTTGGTTAGAGATCTTAATTGTGCCCCTTTGGGGAGAGTCGCTTGCTTTCTCCAGTTCCAGTAACCTAGAGAAATTTGGATTGCAGTACAAACCAGTGGGTTCGCTCTGGTGATGTAGGCCCGGGCGTTTCCCCACAGCCTGGGGCGCTTTTGCTGCCGGGCGTACCCCGGCTCCGACGCGAGGAAGTCAGGTGCCGGCTTCTCTTTGGCTTCCTCTCCTTTCCTTACCGCTTCTGCCGGGATGTTAGCAGTGCACACGGCAGCATCCGCCCCCTGCCCTCCTGCGCTTTAATTTTTCTTTCACTGCCGGGCCAGGGGAAGACCACTTCCTGTGCACGGCCTCGTTCCTGGCTCCCCACAACCCCCTAGGTGGATGCTGTGATCACCCCCATTTTAAAGACAAGGATACGACAGGTGCAGAGAGGAAATGGTCCTGCACGTAGCCTCACAGCCGATAAGTGGCAGACTTAGCGTGGCTTGGAGTTAAGTAATTAGTGTGCTGGTCTTGTGTGGGAAAACTTAGCTGTATAGTCTGATTAATAAATCAGAGTCCTAGTCTCTCCCCCAAGTTGCTAATTTCTTAGTACTTTAGAAGTGATTTTAACCTAAACTTTAATTCTTTGTTACAAAGCTAACATGTGCTCATTGTAAAGATTCAGATGTAAAAGTACGTAAAGTTAAATTTTATATAGTGTTCTCCACTCCTCAGACGTAGCCTTTATGGTGAGCTACTCTGAGCTCACTGTGTGCTCTCGTCCTCTCTGCGTTACATGAACATACACAAAAATAATAGTATTATCAAAATTATAGTACAAATTCTTGGCTATTTAATTTTTTAAAAGCTAGGAGATAAGGTTAGTACTTGAGATTAATGTACTGATGATAAAAAATGTAACCCCCACAACATACTTTTAAGGCATGTTTTAAAGTATTGCTTGCTTTTTTTTTTTAATGGAGGGACTGGGGGTTGAACCCAGGACCTCGTGCACGCTAAGCATGCGCTCTCCACTTGAGCTGTACCCTCCCCCTCGTAGTACTGCATTTTTTTAAAGTACAAATTTATAGACTTAATCTCTTTTCAGAATACTAACTTCAAATTGAAGTTAATTTGTATTCTTAATCCTAAAATGTAGGGAAAAACCGAATATTCAAATTTGGAATTTTCATTTTATTTTAAATTTGAAAATAGAGTATAATATATGTCTGTGTGTTTTGAGTGTCTTGTATTGTGAAGAGTAAAAAAAATCATATTCTGTAGAATAATCATTTAGAGTCTTTTTACTTTGCATTTTTGTCTCCTCCACCCTTTTCTTTTAGGCATGTTTTGAAATATTACTTTCTTTTTTTTTTTAATTGGAGGAACTAGGGATTGAACCCAGGACCTCGTGCTTGCTAAGCATGAGCTCTACCACTGAGCTGTCTCTACCTTCTTTTCCCCTCTTAAATTCTCTTATGGCTGATTTCTTGACCTCAAAATATAGAGGGGAACTGTCTTCATAATTCCTCTAGGTAGATTTGACTTTTGTTATGAGCCTTTTTTTTTTGCTTTCTTTTAAAGAAGATTTTGTTGCTAAGCAATTCATTTGTTATTCATTATGACACAAAAGATAGGACATTTGGAATATTCTGTAAGTTCGTTGACAGATACTGTTTATTTCTCACCTGTTCAGCTCTTACAAAGAGCTTTCTGAATGAGAAGAACGGATACCTTTCATCCAGTGTTATTTGCCAGCGCAAGTTCAGCTTCTGAAAGTATTTGTAGCCTTAAGTAGAAAACCATGGGATATATTTTCCGTAAAATATGTACATGCCTATGATCTGCTTTCTGTTGGTTCCAGCCTAGTTTTTTCTTTGGTCCCGACTTCTCTGTTATCACCTTGAACATAGTTTTTAAAAACATTATCTAAAAATTATTTCAAATTATTTTTAACCCCTGGCAAGTTAGCGTCCTTTTACTTACTCTTCTTTCACTGTCCAGATAACCTCTTTTTACTAGGAATGTGGCAGAGAAAGCTCCCCACTCTGGGGTTGTGGTGAATCATTTTGGGGTGATGCCCACAGACACTGTCTTCTACGTCCGCCCTTAGCTGTGTCTGTATGTTCTGTGACTTCGTGTTTGTATCCATTGTGAACTCCTATGGCACAGCCTTCAGGAGATTTTGGTTTATATCTTGATCAGGTTCCGTTTTAACATTTATTGGGAGGCAGACTGCTGTAACTGAAAATAACGGACACTGCAATCAGATACACTGAGTCTTGGCTCTGCTACCTCTTAGCCATGTAGTCTGGCACAAGTTATTTAATACCTCTTGGCCTCAGCATCGTGATGTGTAGATGGAGTTGCTAAGCGCACAGGGTTGTGGGGAAGCCTTACCTGAAGCCTGTGTAGAGTCTCTCAGGGCCTCTCACCAAATAGGTGCTGTCACTCTTGGGGAGTCAGAGATCACAATCTGTTGTCTTCAAGGAGCTTCCATTACAGTGGAAGAGACATGGCCTCCAGTGGAGGTGGGGGAAGACTCCGTCAGTACGGACACGTGTAGAGAGCATGTAGAGACCACAGAGGGAGCAGCGATCAGACTGATGGTCTTCATGTGCGTTGCATTGTGAGGGGTGGTGCAGAATAGACTCTAGTCTTACCTGACCCATTCCTATCCTGTGCTCATTTACGCACGTGCATTTTTGTTTATTTCTAATCCACGTGCGTAAGTATGATATATCTTTAAGATGTTTGAGAGCCGAGTTCTTAAGCTTGGGTCTCACTAGTCCTTTTTCTCCTGGGGAGGTACAAGGTCTTTGGTACTGAACAGGTGCTAAGTGTCTTGTAGAGCAACAAAAATAAACATGGCCCAGGAATGAGGGGACACAAACGCAAATCGGGCAGCGCTTTGAGGTTTACTGACGTGCTCTCGCCTGGGGGAATGGGAGGGCACAGCACCTGTCAGCTCAGAGAGGCATCCCCAAGGGGCAGAAAGGAGGCCATCCTTATTCTGCTCTTCTCTGACAGCACGGTGAACTTGTTAATGGGAAGAACGAAGACATCCGATGTCTCCTGGTGGCGGCCCCGAGACATTAGTATAACCACGGTATTGAATTTCCTTTACAATGTTTATGACTTCACCAATAATAACGTGCTTCACGATTAACGTTTCAGGCCAAAGAGCAGACAGGAGCCACCGCGTCTGTCATCTACGTCCCTCCTCCTTTTGCTGCTGCCGCCATCAGTGAGGCCATTGACGCAGAGGTGCCCCTGGTGGTGTGCATCACGGAAGGCATCCCACAGCAGGACATGGTGCGGGTCAAGCACAGGCTGCTGCGCCAGGACAAGACCAGGCTGGTCGGGCCGAACTGCCCTGGAGTCATCAACGTGAGTGCGCAAAACAGAACAAAGCCCCGTTTAGCCTCTAAAGGCTAACGAGCTTTTTGAGTCTGTGTGTACGACCTCTGAGGCACTTGTTTTCCCCCTTCACTTCTCTGAAACTGTGAATTACTTTCCTGCAGCCTGGAGAATGCAAAATTGGCATCATGCCTGGCCACATTCACAAGAAAGGAAGAGTTGGTGAGTATGTATTTCTTACAGATGAAACACAGAACTCCTTGACCTAAGTTCAGACTCACAAAGAGACTCTGACTGTGCAAATCAAACTCATTTTAATGAGTTCAGCTTTAATAGAATTTCCCAGGGGAGTTTCGTAGTGAACTGCTTCTGCACCCTAAATTGATGTCTGAGAAACAGTAATAATAGTTCCACGAAACTGGTGAAAATATTTTGGGGGTTTTGAAGATTCTTTCCTGCTCAGCACACTATGGATTATCCCATTTTTTTTTGCATGTGTCAGCAGTTAATTTTATTTTATTGTTAAGTAGTATCCTCTTGAATGATTACACAGTTTGTTCTCCCACTGATGAAAATTTCTGTTGTTTCCAGACTTGAGCATCATGAATAAGGTAAAGGCGGGCTTCTGTGTGCTGGTCTTTTTGTGGATACATTTCATTTCTCCTGGGTGAAATGCCTAGGATTGGAATTGCTAAGTCATAGGGTCAAAGCATACTCGACTTTCTAAGAAGTTGTCAAATAGTCGTGCTGAGTGCCTGCCTTCTGCACGCCCACTATGGAGGGGGGATGTGAGCGCTCCATCGTCCCTCGTCCCCCGGGCACTTAGCATCGCCAGCCGCTCTGCTGGGAGCGCAATGATGTCTCGTTGTGGCTTTGAGTTTTCCTGACGACTGATGAGATCGTGTGCTTACTGGCTATTTATAGCTCTTCTTTTGTGAATCATCCCTTGAGGTTTTTTGCACATTATTTTTTTATTGGGTTGCCTCTTTATATAATTTTCTGTATGATTGATGACTATAGGAGGCTTCTGTAAATATTCTGGATATAAGTCCTCTGTCAGGTGTACGTGCTGTAAGTATTTTTACTGTTAGCTTGTGCCCTGTTGGCCTTGTTGGATGTCACAGTTTCTCTCAAAATGTTTTGGGACAATTGCACTGCGACTTGTTTAGTTCCTCAAAGAAATGATCACATTAACATTTCAAAGGCAGCCCGTTAATGCCTGTTTTTAGATTCTTCACACCTAACTCTCACTAAGCTGTACTGTTTCTCCACCATAATAGGGCTACAGTATTTTCTCTGTCCGTAAACCGTGACTATAAATACTACGTAAGAACAGCTAGCCCCGTGGGTGGACGTCAGCTGTGTGGTTTACAGGGCTGGCTTAACGACCGTGATCTTCCTGTATTACTGATGGCTCCTGGAGCTGGCAGCCCTGCTTGCCAGAAGGGTCCTTACCGAGTCCCCTCACCAGGGAGGTTTCAGGGAGCCCCACGGGCCATCTGAGTGCTAGTCGGGGCCTGATCCACCTCGTCACTCAGGCGCGTGTGCACACGTGAATCCTCTGTGTGCTCCTCACGCCGCTTTGATTGGCTCCTGCTCTGGACTTCAGGTGGGCGTGCGGGAAGGTCTGCCTGTGCTGAGCTGCCTTTCTGAGAAGCACCCCGCTTTCCAAGGTGGCCGTAAACCTCAAACAACTGAAAGGAGTTCAGGGAAGCCCTCGGCTCTCTGCCTGCCGGTAACACATCGACGAGGCAGGCCTCTGGGAGACTGCTTTTAATTCCTTTGAAAAAAGGCTGGGAAAAAAAATTCACCTAGAAGAAAACACACGACACTACAGAATTTTCAAGGAGATGAGGGAGAGGAGATGATCTTGTTGTATCAACTGTTCCTGTTTTGATCCCAGTGTTAGTATTCCCAGAAGCCACACCGACTTCCAGTCCTGCAGGGGTTCACGGGAAGGATTTCCATCCCTCGGGCATTTCTGAATGGAATGTGGTGCAGCGTGACGGCAGCACGACAGTGGAGTGACTTTCTAGTTTGTGTTGATGACAACTAATAAAACTGTGTAACAGCCGACTGAACGCTATTGAAGAAAGTGATCGGATTCCAAGTTGATATTTAACTGTGTGATTTTTTTCTCTTATGTTAGACTTTTTTTTACTCTCAACCGCATGTGACATAGTTGACTCCTACATCCTTTTTAAAAAATTTATTTTAATTTAACTTTTTAAACTCATTTAATTGTAAATTCACAGGTACTTGTAAGAAATCATACAGACAGATCTCTGTGTACCCTTTATCCAGCGTCTCCCCAGTGGTAACATCTTGCAGAACTGTAATAAACAGTGTCACACAACCAGTATATTGACATCGATACAGGCAAGATAACGAATGTCTCCATCGCTACAGGGATCCCTCATCTTGCCCTTTTATAGCTGCACCCACCCCCACTCCCTTCTTAATCCTTGGCAACTAGTAATCCTCCATTTATAAAATTGTTCCATGTCAGGAATGCTGTGTAAATGGCGTCATGTAGTGTGTGGCCTTTGGGACTGGCTGTTTGTACTTGGTGTAATTCTCTGGAGACTCGTCGGGTTGTTACGTCGGCAGGTCACTCCTTTGTGCTGCTGAGTGGTATTTCAGGGCGCGCGTGCACTGCAGTTTGTTTAACCAGTCACCTGTTGAAAGATACTGGGATTATTTCCAGTCTGCAGCTTTGACGAGCGAGGCTGCTATAAACATTTGCACACGGGTTGTTATGCAGCACGAGTCTTCATCCGTCTGGGATGCCTGCCCAGGAGTGCAGTCGCTGGGGGTGTGATAGTTGCATGTTGTTTTAAGAAACCACCAAATCGCTGTGCACGGCAGCTGGACCATCCTACGTCTCCGTCACCAGCGTAGCTGTGATCCAGCTTCTCCACGTCCTTGCCGGCGCTGGCCACTGTTTTTTTATTGTAGCCATTCTGATGAGGGTTCAGCGACATCTCGTCGTGGGTATAATTTACACCCCCTTAATGGCTCATGTTTTCAGGTGCTTGTGTGCCATCCGTATGTCTTCTTCCGTGAAATGTTTCTTTGTGCTTTTGCCCGTGGCCTAATTGGATTATTTGCATTTTTACTGTTGAGTTTTGAGAGTTGTTTGTACATTCTAGATACTAGTACATTGTTGGATGTGTGGCTCGCAAATATCTTCTCCCGTCTGTAGCTTGCTTTCTCATGCTCTTAACAGGATCTTCCAGAGAGCAAAGATTTTCATTTTCATGAAAATGTTTTCTTTTGTGGAATATGCTTTGACCTCAAGTCTAGGAACTCTTTGCCTAGCCTGAAATGCCCATTTTTTCCTGAAAGTTTGATAGTTTTACATTTAAATCCTATGGTCCAATTTCAATGAAGTTTTCTAGGTGTGAGACTTAGATCAAAGTTCTTTCTCGTCTGCGTGTGTTCAGCTGCTTCAGCACCGTTGGTTGAAGAGATCACTTTTTTTTCCCATTGAGTTGCTTTTGCATTTTTGGGCCAGCAGTCGGGTGGCACCCGTGTGTTGGCCTGCTCTGGGTTTCGTCCGCACCACACACGCTTGCTAACTGTGATTAGGTAACGTGTCTGGAAGTCGGGTAGATTGCTTCCTTGTACTTCATTTCAAAAAGTTGTTAGCTTTTCTAGTCCCTTTGCGTTTTGCTTTTAGTTGTACTTAGCAGGAAGAATGGAGGAGAACACCCCCGCTTTTTGGAGGCGGAAGTGCCCTGACGACAGATGTCTTTAAGTCTCTTTTACTGTATGTACTTTAAGGATGGCAGGCGCAATCCACCCTAAAACCATTCATTTCATTGTTGAAGTGTGTGCAGTTCAGATGTCATTTATGTAATTAGATGAAAGCCCCTTTAAAGGATAACACCCTAGTGTCACTATTCACTGATTGTCATGCTGATCCATCAAAAGACTAGAATAAATAAAACAGCTGCCCCTCCCGGTAATCCCGGGCACTGAGTGAACAGCGGGAGCAGAACTCCACCCTGAGACTCACATAGGCGTGCAAGGGAGACCAGGACACTGCCCACGAAAGCGCACAGCTGAAGTACTGGGTGTCCTTTGCTTGAAAGCTAAATGCACCACATACGTGTGTACGTAGGCATTGCCTGCCCAGCCTTGTCAGTTATGGCAAATCCCACGGAGGAGGGGCCGCGTTAGGGAGAGAGGATGTGACTAGAAGTTTCCGAGAACAGGGGGAAACCGACGAGTGAGACATGCGGCTGGTGTTCGTGGTTGTCGTTTGTCGTGATACGGGGCCCAGCTACTGAAGGGCCTCAGACTTGAAAGTCGATTTTAAGAATATGGTTGTGCTCCATTGATTTTCAGTTCTGACCCATTTGGTAGATACTTGTTGAGCTCTTTCTGTGCCTGAATGGTGCTCAATCCTGGGAACACAGGGCCGGGGAAAACAGTCTTGTTTACTGACCCCCCGGGCGTTCCAGTCCAGCAAGAAAGACAGTCCCTGCAGTTTCCAGCACCAGCGGCAGCCTCTTGCTGAGCCACTGCAGGAGAACTGGGTTCTGACTTGAGGAGTCAGCGTGTGGTCAGCAGACTGCAAGCCCAGCTGTGAACTTATTTTCCTAAACCCGGGTTATTAGCCACAGATTAATCCTTGAACCTTATGCCATCTTTTTTTCCTTATGCTCGTTTTGATGGATGCGTTGTTCCATTTTGCTGTGCGTCAGCAGTAGACGGTCGTTTTATGTAGACGACTTTAGGTCTTAAAACTGCTTTTACAGTCGTAAAACACCCTAACTAATAATATACTTTCTTCTATATCTCCTTTTAAAACCGCCCTGCTGTAATTGAAGCCTTTTCTTCTTGTTTCCTCACCTGGTGACATCGTTTATTTGGATGACAGGTTGTGGGACTGGCAGCATGTGTACTTATGTCTGTAATTTGTTTTACTATATGATAGTCTGTCTCATGAACACAATCTCAATGTTTTGGGATTCTCTTTCTTTAAGGTATCGTGTCCAGATCTGGCACCCTGACTTACGAAGCGGTTCACCAGACAACGCAAGTTGGATTGGGGCAGTCTTTGTGCGTCGGTGAGGGATTTTGGCTAAACGCGTTTTGTTGCAGTGCAGTATCTTCATTGAATAAGTACAGCAATAATTATGGATTTGATTATTTGCAAGGGATTCTGGTGCCATTTTATGAAAAGGACGTTATGATCTTGAATTTAATTTGCTTAAATGTGAAGCTTATTATTACATTTTCAAGATTCGTGGTCCAAGATTTGACTTCCGCCTGGCGGAACAAACGTGCTGGGACGTGTGGCCCCTGGAGAGCCTCGGTCCCTGAGAACGGCGCTAACTTTGCTCGCTGTGAAGAAGTGGTCCTTCGTCATGGGACTTGCCGCGCTGTAATTAGCATTTTGCTATTACCAGCTGCCATCCAGGGCTTCAGAGTTGCTGGATTCTTCACTATTCATCATCTCCCTCCTAAGGCCGCCCTGCGAGGCACCGCTGTGCTGGGACTTGGTGCTGGAACCAAGCTTCGCTGGCAAGAAAATCTAGGTGGAGGAGGTTTGAGCTCCCCAGAACCTCTCTCTTTGCCGCATCATACTGCCTCCCACTTAAAAACATAAAAAAGTTTTTATATTCTTAAACGATTTTGGTATTTGTTGCCAAAAGCCAGGCAAATTTCTCATTTTTAGAAACATACCTTCAAATCTTTAGAATATTTTAAAAAAGATTTTCAAAGGCAGCTTTTTATAGTTAAAAGAATGTAAAATATAGCCCTGGCATATTTTTATTAAGACTCAAATTCGTAAAATCAGTGTTAAACATTAGTTGTGCTTTTCTGTGTGCGGAAGTCCAGCCTCAGACACCAGGTGACTTAGCGTGACAGAGAATGAGAAAGGACTTTGAGCCGGGGTGCCAGTTCCGTCTTCTCTAGCCTCTGGTTTTAATTTGTACGTTGAGAGTAATAATTTCTGTCTCGCAGAGAGTTTGGGAGGGTTAGCAGGTGGCAGGTGTGACGTGTGCTGAGGCACCGTGCTGGCCACACAGCTGGAGGGTTAGGAGGTGGCAGGTGTGACCTGTGCTGAGGCGCAGAGCTGGCCAAGTGGCTGTCACGTGGCACCTGCTGCTTCTCTCCTGCAAGATCACTCTTCAGAGATGCATCGAAAGGTGGGAAACCAGTGCTGCCTTCAGTGAGTTTATAACTTAACAGTGTGAAAAGGAGGCAGCCAGCCTGTGGGGAACATTGACTTAAACCCTGTCCAAGTGCTAGTGCTTAAACGCCGTGTGCTTGGAGTGGAGCCCTGTGTGTGCTGTCTGTCATCAGCCCCTCTGGGTCTAAGGGAAGAAGGAAGAGAGGTCGGGACACCCCTGTCCGTCACTAGGACTTGTGTCCCAGCTTGTGAGTGGTTCCTCTGCAGTGTGCCTCCTCAAAGAGTTACTTTGTGCAGAGAAATTCCTTACCTGTTTAATCAGAGATGATATTCTCACAAACACACATTTTCTTAAAATGCTCATTTTTAAAGAGCCATCCGGGAATAATTCTGTGGGAGGGAAGAGTCTCGATAAAGAGCTAAACCAGAAATAGGGCTGACTTTGTGAATATCAGGAGCCAGCCACCATTTAGCATTCGTGTAATATTATCAGCAGAAATAAACGTGGCATTTATGACTTTTAAATGTTAAATGCAGGAGTGCCAACCCAAAAAATATTGGTAAGAAGAGGGTAGGTAAAATAAAAAACCTGTTGAAACAACATTTCTTGACCAAAATTGCATGGTTCATCCTTAAACTTCCAGCTGGCGCTGATATTCTTTGACTCTTTCAGGCATCGGAGGTGATCCTTTTAATGGGACAGATTTTACTGACTGCCTGGAAATCTTCCTGAACGATCCGGCCACAGAAGGCATCATACTGATTGGCGAAATTGGTGGTAACGCAGAAGAAAATGCTGCAGAATTTCTGAAGCAACATAATTCAGTAAGTTCTGTTTTGGAAAAACGGAGCTCTCTGCTCCTGAATGTTGTCAAAGGTCGGTTTTGCTCCTGGCTCTTCTCCTTTCTGCCTCCCCTGGTTACCGTCCAGGCCTGTTCCCCAGGTGTGCATGGTCACTGCAGACAGGCAGCGCACTTCATGCAGTTTCCCAGGCAGAAGGAAGCCTCGGAGCCGCCTTTTATTTCTCTTCTACCTCTTCTTCCACGCAGTTACCGAGATCTGTCTCTGTAATCTCAGTTGCTTGTTGAGACTCAGAGCATCGTCATCTGTAATTAGTCCCTACCTCACCTGGACCAGCTCAGTAGTTTTTTCCTGGTATCTCTGCTCCTTTCTTCCTGAGGCACCCCCCGCCGCCCGCCACCCCCGTCCGGCGTATCTCCATATATCTAGGGTGAGGGGCAGGCTTAGCACGGCATTCCAGCTCCTCCCTCGCCACCCTAACCCGCTTTTCAGATCCACGTCCCTTCTGACCTGCCCCTTGCTTCAGTCTTGCTTGTCCTCGCTTGTTCCCTCTGCAAGGTGTGTGTAACATCTCTCACCCTGGCCTGTGCTGTACACAGCGAGCAGCCGGTGTCCTTGGTGTCCAGCCCAGTCCTCTGGCGCATGAGGCACCGGTGAATGGTGAATGGGTGAAAGAATAAAGTAAATTGTTAGGAGATGGGAGTAAAATGTCGTTAGAGTCTCTTGAATCTAGAAAAGTTGTGAAGTTTAAAATTTAAGTAAATCTGACTTCTTTTTAGAAAAAAGCAATTTAGGTTAACAGACATTATAGTCGTCCCTTGACATCCACAGGGGCTTCGTTTCTGTTCCCCTGGGGACACTGAAATCCATGATGCTCAAGTCCCTTATATATTACGGCGTGGTATTTGCATGTAACCTACACATACCCTCCTGTATATTTTAAATCCTCTCTAGATTACTTCTAATACCTAATACGATGTAAATGCCGTGTAAATAGTTGTAAAGACAAAGTGAATAGTGTCTAAATAGTAACCAGCATGGCAAATTTAAAGTTCTGCTCTCTGGAACTTTCTGGGATTCCCTTCTCCGCCCCCCCAAATATTGTCTGTCTGCACTTGGTTGAATTGTTGGATGCGAACCCTGTGGATACAGAGAGCCAGCTGTACACTGTGCTAAAGTAAACTCAGAAATGTTCTCAGGCGCAACTCTGAGTCCCTTGAATAGCTTTGAATTTAGTGGGAAAAACTAAGCTTTACATTTGGTTTCATTTGGCACATGTTTCCCTGTTCCTGGCTGGTTCTTCCGGAGCTGAGTGTTACTGAGGGCCTGCAGTGTATGAGGGTCCAGGCTGAGCAGCTCAGGTGGCAGGTGATGAAAATGCTCGTCAGCACAGGAACTGGCGCACAGCGAGCCCTCAGTGGTGCTGCCTGCGGCTACAGCGAATGTTCTCGTCATTCTAACAATGACACGGATTATTTACAAGAGTCGTGTTGCTTCATCTTTTCATCTTGACCCTTTGAGGAGTAGTTTTTGTCCTTTTATGAGTGAGGAAACCGGCCCAGGGAGGTTGGCAAGTTGCCAGTGGTAGGTACACAGCAAATGAACCAGGGGCGAAATTCCCACCCTGGTCTTGCCTGACTTCTCCATGACGCCATGGCGGGGGGCAGGAGCCAGGCTGCCGGGGGCAGGGGCGGGGGT